ATCAGCGAGAAGAACAACCTCTGAAGCGGGGTGATTGATGTTCAGGAAATCGATCTGGACGGCGAGGTAATCGAGTAGGTCATCCCAGTTGTGGTCCGAGGGAGAGCGATAAACGCAGCAAGATAAATTTGGTTGATCTTTTGGAGTTGAGGCGATGCCAGAGAATGTCCTTCCGGTCTGATTCCAAAGAAACATCTCTGGAGCAGGAAAGACTGCTGCGGACAAAAGCCACAACTCCCCCGTTCTTTCTCAGATTGGAGTGCACCTCGTAGTTTGGGAAGGTAAGATGGTTAATCGGTGCAGACTCTGAGATTTTTGTCTCCGCCAAGAAAAGCACGGCGGGACGATTGGATTGCAGGTAGTGATTAACAGCATCAATGTTGCTGTTAATCCCGCAGATGTTCGAAAAACAAATTTTATCTTCGATATTGTTCCCTTGAGCCCACCCTCCACCCGGACATTCCGAGAGTGGAGTGAATTTACGTCCGGAAAGATTTCAAGAAATTCTTTCCACCTTCTGATTGCTTAAGCATAGGTAATAGTTATTTTAGGAGTCACGGTTCTTCAAATTCGCAAAGTACATTTTTTAAGCTACATATGTATGTGCATTACATGGTCAAACCGATACCTGTACTTCGTATGTTTGATCAATAACAGGGATGTGAATGTACGGGAAGTAAAAAATAAAATTACACCATTTGTTACTACGTTTGCGCTAAGTCATCTAAAAAACAATTTCCATTGCCTACTGAAGAGAGAAATAAAAAGTGATACGCATATCATTTTTCCCCTTATGGCAGCTATAAAAGCTGACCCCTGCGGCTATCAAATTTGATTTATACGTTCATCAATATATAGTATACAGTTAATTAAGCGGTCACGACTGATCAACAAGCTTCTGCCGGCGAAGGTCTTGCTGATGAAACAGCTGTTTGCGATGTCCGGGATTAACACGTTACTATAGTTAGATCCTCTAAGAAAGGGGTTTGGCCAGATTGTGGAATTATACGGTATTGCTGTTAAGGAAATCCCGCGCCGGTTCATATGACACAAAGTTTAGAGCTGATCTTATGTATGTAAAATAAAGTACGGGCTCACCCCATACATTATGACCAGAGAAGTTATTTAAACTGTACACTACCAAAAGCATAAATGAGAAAATAGAGATGCCGCTGCATGGTTTACGCAAACTATTTTGCCAAATCTGCATAATACCCTGGAGATATGAGGAGTGTTGGCCTATATACAGAGTGTTTCAGAAAGATGTGCCAAAATTGCTAGGGTAGAAAGTACATCTAAAAATAACAATAAAAGTTCCATTAAAAATTTTCTACGACACTGGCCTTTTTGGGAAAAGAAGTGCATTTTATAAAATAACATTCGATTTTCCATAAATCATGTGTCTCAAGGAATGGTATTTCAGATCACTTGATTTGGAAATATTTAGATTTAAATATTTGAGGTAAAATCCTAAAGCATGCTCATGAGAAGGTTTAGCCTCCCCTATTCTCAAGACAGCAAACACCGTGAAGCTTGATATTGGAAACATTATATGGCATGTGAAGGAAGCTATGGCACCTCAATACAAAGTTAATTGAATAATGTGCGTGACTTTTCCTCAATCAGCAGCGTAGGAGCTTACCATCCATGTAACCTTGTCTACGCGCGCTCCTGGATTTCATTGTATATTCCTCCTGGTATTAGCTATGCTAAATTCTTCTGTTTGTCTGAAATCACAACTAGTAATTGTGCAATGAAACAATTTGAGTAAAATCCTTATTATTTTCCTTCTGAAATTATCAGCTTTCTTTCTCAAAATTCATTAACATTTCGGATTAAGTGAGCTCAACAAGGAAGAAAGATATCACAAATCCTTAACAACCTCGGACACGAAGTATGAGGAAGAAGGCCAACACTGTCGTTCTACGCCAGGTATTTTCTTGGACCCACATTTATAAGAACTTTTTTTGTTATTTTTGGGTGTACCTTCTAGATTCAAAATATTGGTACGTCTTTCTGAAACACCCTGTACGCACGTGCTAGCACCTAAAACAACAAGTTTAGTTTGTTTCTAATCCTGAGATAAGCAAGCGGCTCTAAAATGAGCATTCGAGCTCGAAAAAAGGGAGTGTGTCCTCGAAATTCACCCATCTGTTGTTCTACTAGCCCTTTGCGTAAGCACACCTCAAGCTCGCTCACAAAATCCTAGCCTTCTAATCATCTCTAGTTTGCTGGCTCTATTAAAACGTAATATATTTATTCCATAAAACGCATGAAACGTGCTTTAATGCACCCAGGATGTGTTGATACACAGTGAATACACAGGATATTTGTCCTGAATCCCACTGTAAAAATCCCACAAGAATCGTTTTTGCGTTTGGAATATTTTACCGCTACCCTCGGCATTTATTCTTCAATCCGAACTTAACAACATTTTTGTGTTTAATTGTATGTGAATATTCCTCATTTTATGGAAGGATGAAGCAGCTGCTTACTTTTACTCTTATCACTATTTCTTTTCAAAAAAATCTTAGATTTTCTTGACAGCTTATTTTGCAGTAAATTAAGTTTTCAAAAAAGCAACGATTTTTCTGAAGAGAAAAGTTCATAAGACTCACCCGCTTCATTCTTTCATAAAAGCGGAATATTCACATACAATTTTAGAGCTCTACTGTTATTTGTAAACAAGATACAATTGAAGAAAAAATGCACAAAATATGTGTTTTTTACAAAAAAGAAACTAATAACGTTGTTTTACAGTCATCTCTATATGAAACAATCAGACGAATAGTATTAAGATTACTCGTCCAGATAGGCTGTTGCGAAAAAGGGACTTGCGACGGTAATTGCCACCATTAAAGTTGCGTAATTAAATGACAACTCAAAAACTACGCAACACAATTTTGCCTAGGTATTGCTTTCCTTCACGATGGCAACGAAGCGCCAACTTATAAAAGAATTTGTAATATTTGCGCCCAACTTAGATCGATGCTTAATTTCACACTTTTCTAGCTCCAATGTAAAAAGCTAACTGAAATTTATGAAGCAGTATGTCGATTAAAATTGTCTGCTGTGAAGACGCGACTATGTTTACAAAAAGCTAAATTCATGACGGCACCCCGGGATTTTTGTTAATTAAAACTGCTAATATTATGCAATGCTAATTACTGTGTGTACATGACTCGATGATAATGGGCGTTTTATTGGTTTATACTAGGCTACAATGTACAGTTTAGCAAAATGAAAACGTGGCGAGTGTGTGTTCTATCAACGGAATTTGAATACCAAGTGCAGTACCACTTGTGACCAAGGGCAACTTGGCAAAACACACAAAAGGGTTAGATAGATAATCTATATTGTCTTACTACCGACGTAGGAAATTATGACATAAGACTTATCGACATTATATATTACATAAATGAATAAATTGCATGACATGATCAGTGTGTATAAATACCACAGTGTCAAGAAATATACAAATAACTAAAACAATAAAAAGACAAAGACGAATTTTTACATATGCATTGAACAACTATTAGACATATATCAAAACATAATAAGAACAATTATAGTAAACAGATAGATTAATTAAAACATTTAACATTTACTACAAATTTTACTACAAAAGAATTTACTACAAAATAATAGACACCTAAGCTATAAGCTTGTGTGTGTCATACAATATACAAATTCAATGCATGGCTAATGGTCATAAGGTATATTATGAGCAAATGTATATAAAAAAAGAAATAAAAAAAAAACATTAGATAGAAACGAAATTACTGAGTTGAGTCAAGCTACCGTCGATGCAAGCATGTCAAAGTTATTTAAGATGAACTTCTTAACTCTTTTTTTGAAACTATACTTCGAGAGGATTTTATATTCTAGGGGTAATTTATTATACAACCTAATACCATCAAACTTTATGCATTTTTGGCAAACAGATTTATTCACTCTGGTATAGGTGTAACTTATATTTATTTTAGTTCTTGTTTCATAAGCGTGGCTGGTTGGAACATTGTTTCGGGAGTGAACGAATTTTAGAGCAGCAAAAATATATAAACCTCTAACATTCAAAAGATCATTTTCAATGTAAACAAATCTGCAACTTGACCGACATGGGATACGAAAAATAGTCCTGACAATATAATTTTGCGTGGTTTGTAGTATTTTTAAAGTACTAGTGTATGGGGCTCCCCAAATACTTATCCCGTAAGTTAGTAGAGACCCCACAAACGAGTTATATATTGAGAGAAGACTCTTTCTGCTTAAAATATTCCTAAGAATGAAAAACTTATGAATAATTCTCCTTAATTTCGATGCCAAAAGCTCGGCATGACTCTGCCATTTTAAGTTACTGTCAACAATGATTCCTAAGTATCTAATAACTTCAACTCTTTCGACAGTGTCAGCACTATCATTTATGATTAATGTTCGGTGGTGTAATGGCATGCCTGCTTTGGTTGGAGAAAACGTTACATACTTAGTTTTAGAGATATTAAGTTTAAGTAAATTGTTATCCAACCAGCATTTGACTTTATTTAATGACAACTCGGCATTCCGTATTGCGTCATCCCATGAATGACCAGTGCAAACTAAAACAGTATCGTCTGCATATGATATCATCTTACAGTTGAAATTACATTACAAGTAGTTCATTTATGTATATGAGGAACAGTGTTGGTCCCAAAACTGTCCCCTGAGGCACACCTATTTTGATCTTTTGAATGTTGCTTAAATCTGACCCTACCTTAACTTGTTGTAATCGATCAGCCAAATAGTTCTCAAATAAGTTCAGAACTCCACTACGCACTCCAACACTTTCTAGTTTCTTTAATACAATTGTAAGAGATACTGAATCGAAAGCCTTTTGAAGATCTAGGAAAACTGCAACAGTCTTATTTCCATCTTGAAAATTTTCAAGCACTTGTCCTGTAAGTTCTTGTAGAGATTGCTCTGTATTGCAATTTTTGCGGAACCCAAATTGACAGTTCGATATTATGTCATATTTCTCAAGAAAAGAACAAAGTCTGTTATTCAAACACTTCTCAAAAATCTTCCCAAATACATTGATAACTGAAATAGATCTATAATTGAACATATTGTCTTTACTTCCAGATTTAAATATTAGTGTCACTATACTTTCTTTAAATTGGCGAGGAATTACTGAGGATTTGAAACAGAGGTTGATAATGTGAGTTATAGGGTGACTGATATACTTCATGATCATCTTAGTTTTAGTGTGTAAGCCATCTTTTCCGGGTGCGCTATTATTTTTCAGATTACAAACTATTTGTTGTAACTCTATGTTATCCACTGGAGTTAGAAACATAGAGTGAGCAATGTTGACGACATGAGGATCTGATGTATCAAGAATTGAGTTTTGATCAATCTGACTTGTTATTTGCTCACCTATATCAACAAAATATTTATTAAAAACACAGGCTATATCAGTGGGAGCGTCCAGCTGCTGATTATTGTGATTAATTGATTTTACGTCATTTTTTTTTATTTTGTCAGCATTAGTTACCTCATTAATAACATCCCAGCTCTTCCTATAGTTATTACCAGCTAAAATGAGTTTTTGTGTATAATATTGATTTTTAGAGATCTTAATAAGATTAGTTACTCTGTTTCTGTAGGAGATATAGGACTGTCTCAATATCAAATTATCATTATCTTTCGTCAAACTCTGTTTCAACTCATCTCTCTTCTTGATCGAAGTAAGAATACCTTCAGTCATCCACGGCTTGCATTTTCTGGTCTTACTATTTATTTTTAAATAATAAGTTGAATGACCTATGCCTTTATATAATTCATTATAGAAGTTATCAGTTGCTTTTTGGACATCACTCTCTGAAAAAACACTGTCCCAAGTCACCACTTGTAAATAATCTGTCAACTTTTGCTCATCAATTTTCTTAAATTCATGTTTTTATTAATGATACAATTACTTCCTTTCAAATACCCAAGATTGAACAAAACAGGATAATGATCGGTCATACAATTTTCCAAAAGTATTGGTTTACACTCAATTGCTGTTTTAGAGACCTTAAATCTGTTTGCCTTCAAAAATATGTGGTCGATAATCGTAGATGAGTTAGAATCTACCCTAGTAGGTGTATTAATCTGAGATATGTACCCGTTCTGTTGCAACATATTCACGTATCTAAAATTACTGTATTCATGTTCTCTCAATAAGTCCATATTTATATCACCAACCAACAACGAAATGAAACTGTTATTGTTGAAAATAAAGCTACAATTCAATGTCGTCACTACATCTATCATTTTTATGGAAACATTTGCCGAAATGTCATCTCTTACATACATACAAACCCCATCGCATTTATTATACTTGGCTTCATTATAGTAAATTTGGAAGCCATTTATTTTATAACTGTCGATATTACTGATATTCCAGGTCTCACTCAAAACAATGATACCTATATTTTTATTCTTATTTAACACCGCTATGTTTATACAAAGCTCATCATAGTGAGCTTGCAAGCTCCTGATATTGTAATGAAGTATAGTGAAGTTTAACTTATCACTTCTCTCAAACAGAACACTATTTAATTCATCAAAATTAGAACAACTGATGGTCGTGATATTGTTATAATCCTCTAAAATATTCAAAGCTGTATCAATATCAGTCATATACAAATCAAGCTAAACTCAATATGAATGCAGAAAAAACTGAAACTAACTAAACTGCTACAACTAAACAGTGGCTCAGTTATGTAACAAATTACAACTCGCAGAAAAGGAAGAAGAAAAAAAGGAAAGAAAAAAAGCACTAAACCAAAATGAAAAGCTCACATATAGGAAGAAATTAAGACTATCGCAGACCCGCTAAAATAATTTAAAAACTAAGTTCTAAGTTACATTTCTGCAGCACCCTGTATACGGTAGCAAAGTCCAAAGATCGCGAGAAGTGGCCAAAAAGAGAATTAGTAATTCTACCCTTTGAAGACACCCATCTCAAAATTGGTCGATCTCGATATGTACAGGAGCAAAGAAAAGAAAAATAAATGGACTGTCACTTGAAAGACAGGTAAGCAAAATATGTCATCATTGTCAATAATTTCCTTTGAAAGAGGACGCCATGGTGGCCGAAACATTATTGAACAGGAATACAGAATGTAGTTCTTTTCACCAATTTTGGCGTTTACATCAATGCCACACAATATTTGTATAAGTAAACTGTCCAACTAACCGTTTCATGAGTGTCACGTACTTCTAACGTAGGAGCACACTGCGCAAACCGACAGGTCCTACTCGTTCTTTAAGGGCCGTTTTTTTTCTCATCCGGGTTCTGGCAACATCCCAATTTCAAAAAACCTAACGTCATTGTTCTCTTATTGTATTTTCAGGCATTAAATTACATTTTAACGAAGATCAACAAAATTTAAACCAAAACCGCATGCCGATGACAAGAGAGTAGTCACATTGATAGTCTCAAAAAATACTCTTAAAGTAATCAAATGCTGCTACAAAATGATCAAAGCGGTGAGAAAAAACTGAGAAACACATGTATCTGTGCTTTACACAAAGAGACGTCCATTCACAAAGGTAGATAGTAGATGTATGAGAGAGATGGAGATATGAAAACTATGTATACTGTCAGCTCTATTTTGACCTGCTGAAAATCATGAAGAGTACTATTAGCCTGAAAACTATAGGAAAAGTTTCAATATTAGGAAGGTAACTTTAATGGTGCCTTTCAACAAACCTCCTATTTAATCCTTGAACAGGTCAAACGAGCAAGATGAAATTTAGGGTGATAAAGTTGATGCTCGCATACTATTCGCCAGGAGCGTAGTGCATAGTGGCGGGGAGCTAAATCGATCGCCCCGTATGAGGTGAATAAAAAGAAGAAAGTGGAATATAGGCATTGGTGGAAGTATTTCGAAGTCAGCACTTATCGGATCAAAAAGAGAATTGTTAGTTTGAAATTGATATTGTTCCTAATCTCATATCGACTAAATGTCTATTAGATTCAAGCACCAATATTTGTTTCCGACATCAGATGGGTGACACAGTCATCCTTCAACTCAGTGATCCCAAATCGAAGAATACGAAATTTAAAAGACAAAGTCGGTAGGAAAATGAAAAACGTATATATATATATATATATATATATATATATGTCTTGAGACGTAGTCATTGTCGTCTAGACCAGTTAGGTGAAAAATTAAAGCTTTCGCCTTTTGTTGGGTACTTCGACAAAATTTAAGCAAGGAGGACTCTTTATACTTTTTTATTCTCTCTAGCTTTCAATGGTCTTTGCCATCACCATCAGTAGAGTAGTATGTGAGGATGTTGCTAATTGTCGTTTACGTTAAGGATGAGGGAAACACCCAGTAACATGGTGAAATCTGGATAGCTGGTACAATGGTCAAAATCTTGTGATACAGCTGTGTGTATTTTATATAATGTTGACCATTGTACCATCTATCGAGATTTCACCATGTTACTGGGTATTTCCCTCATCCTTAACGTGAACAACAATTAGCAAAATCCTTTTTGTGGTAAAATTAAAGTAACAAAGTTATAGCTCTTTAGAAGTTTGAGTACCGCCCTGTCTCAATAATAATATGTGCTCGTGTTTGGCAACAACGGATATAATCGGAAACAAAAAAGCGAAAGAATTTGAAACGCTTATCACGATGTTTTATTCATTTATTTTATTCAGTTGTATTCATTCGATGTGTCAGTCGGTAACGCGTGGCTCAAATGAAATAAAAAATGGCACATGTTTACGAAAATGCTGAACTTGTGGACATGATTCTTATTTTACAAAATGCTGCCACGGCAACACGGATTTATGCGGATCGGTTTCCCAATCGAGTGCAACCAACCCCTAGTGCCTTTGTTAATGTAGTACAAAGGGCTCGTGAATCAGGTGACTTAAGTCCTCACACGGGAGGGTATGTGCTCCAAGACCGCACGATCAAATACAGGTCCGCACTGAAATACTTGTCGGGAGGATATTTTATAAAACAAGGTAACATTTTTTTTTATTTTTTTTTAATTTTTACACACATATTTTGGTTTATCTTCCTTCTACAATCATTATCTGAAAATTAATGACTCAACTTCAAAGTATATATATATATATATTTCTATTGCGCGTACACAGGTTTTCCTTAAACATATAATAACAAATGGGAAAATGACAATTTGTTATTGCGTATAGACCACAGGTATATAGAATTTTTATAACTGTAAAAACCAAATTGAAAATAATCTTGTACAAAAAAACTAATTTTGTATATTTTTGCAGAAATTTGTACATATGTATATAACGAACACAACTTAAAAAACTGTTTAACTGTATCAGGATAAAATCGATGAAAATGATTAGCTATACTCAAATACCAAATACCAAGACGGAAGAGATAAACATGACCCAGTGACGTAAGATGTGTTTTGGTACACTTTTCAGTCTCGGTACCAGACTATATCACTTCTCAGCCATAACAAGAACCCAGAAAATATTTCTTAATTCCAAGAATTATCAGTGGTCTTTGAGATCATACCAATGTAGTTTAAAAAATACTAGAAATCATGCTATCATTAATATTGAAGTTGTAATGATTTCCTTCGTTTATGAGTCCTTGAGCTTGAAACTCCATCACCTCACACTTTAATTTAATATTTAATTCAAACCAGACTAGCTTTGGTATCCTTGTTGCGTATCCGAAAATACGATAATGATGATTTACCCAAATCTACTTTCCGGGTGTGCCGATTGCCGTAACTGTACGCATACACATGTGTATGATTTGGTATGAAATAAGGTCTCATTTTGGTAGAAATGCCAAAAAATTTGTAGGTTTGGTAACACTGATGCAACTAAAGAATGCGATTCGTATTTTAATGTAAAAGTGAAAACGTTAAGTTGCCGTCTGGTCGCCACCTTGGAACATTTTTTTAAATGGAATGGGAGATCATGTTATACCCCCATTTGAAGCTTACGAAAACTTCACGCCCCTATCAAATTGATTCACTGTCTTTCAGAATGACGGACTTCACACTGTCAAATTTGAACTCCTTTTTATATTGAATGCTATAATATATCAGTCTTCTCTATGGAACATTCCTCTGGCAAAGTTATAAAAACCCGTCATCCTTTCTTAACAAATGTCGCATATTTTATTGCTAATTTAGATATTCCCATGAAAAAGGAACACATATTTTGAAGTTAGTTGTTAAGTTATATGCAAAAAATGGGCATTGCGGTCTGATTGGCAACTGGATTCACACCACAGAGTGATTCAAAGTTGGAGTAATGAAACATCATTTTGATTTACCCTGCACAACAAATCAAGCCGAGGCTACCATCAAGTACTCATATATACGTAACAATGCCAATAAGTTGCCTAGCGCCTGCCAAAAGAATCAATAAATCAATATAAAAGTAAAAAAGTTATGACGTTCCGAATTTGACTAAAATTGTGATTGTTGCATTTATTTTGAACCTTACTGTACTAAAACACACAACTTTAATCGCCCA